CTATTTAGTGTTAACATAAGGAATAGCTTCTACCATACCACTTTTACATAGATTTTATATGTAGCAGCTGAGATCGTTACCGAATTGAACTATTTAAACTATAATGTTGATCTTCAACATATAAAACATGGTTTATTTTGAGTGAAATAACCTCATGATTGCAGATAAGTTTTTACAATATGATGTTTCGTAATAGTGGTCACTTGCTTCCAGATTTAAAAGTAGAATTCTAATTACAATAATATAAAAAGCACGAGTGATTGCAATAATTGGAGGAGATACAAGATGGTTTGATATCTTCTCTCTACAAGGAATACATACATGGTGAGCATATGTTGTCATGGGAAGGACTAACCAAACTCTTTGTGTTTGTAATATAGTCTGTTGAAATATACGCATGTCTAGACTCGACCGATTGGACATCTCCACCTGGAATTTATTGAAGGAATTTTTGCTCATCAAAACCCGCAAACCAAGTAAGCTCCCTTCTTAATCTCTCTATTTTTCTTAATCTGCACATGCACCCCTCACAGGAAACATGTAGAGAATTGTAATTTGGGTGCTTCATTAGTGTTGTTTCCATAAGATTGTATTATCTGAGATGGTTATTTTGGAATTATGAATCGTGATTTGTATCTCCTATAAGAAATTGTCAAGTTAAGCTAAGAAAGTGACTAACCTGAGCTTCCTCTTTAATTTAGATGGTAAGAGAGCAATGACCCATGTTAAATTGATTGGGGGTTGACGGAGGTCCAAGATATGGTTTCGGCTTCTTTAGAGCAGCACAAGATCCTTATAGTATCTCAACTAAAGCAATTTTTTTTATCATGCCTGATATTGATACAAGCTGTTTATGTAGAGGAGAGCCCCAACAAGTTAGTTCTTAGAGTTGCGATGCAAAAAAGAGTAAGGTTGAAATGATTTATACAAAAGACCATACTATGATCATACAGAACACGTTGGTAGAGATAGCCGTCAATTTCATTTTATTGCCGAAGTCAACTAGGAGAAGAGAGGAATCGTAATTGATATTCTAAATTTTACAAGGCTATTATACTGGTCATTTCTTTCATTTCATGTAAATTCGTATTATGACTGAAGTGATATTACCTCAAGCCATAAATTGAAGCAATGGAGTGGTCGTTTGCTGTCGAGAAGGATATAAAAATCGTGATAACGGAGGGGTTACATGGCAATTTACTTACATATTGAAGAGATATAAAGTGCAGAGCTGTAAGTCATTTGTGTATTTAGTTTAGCAGAATGATTAGGAGTGATTTAGTAGGATTTCACAGTGGTAGGGGTATTGACAAAAGTTGTTACCTGTTGGTGTTATTAGGCATATATTACTTGTCTTTTTCTTTTGTTTGTATATGAGATTTCTACAGCATATTGCATGCTTTGTATTTCTTTTATTTTTCTGTCATTTTAATTAACAAAAGTATTTATCAGAAAAAAAACTGGCCTATTTATTTCATCGACTTGATTTGGACATTGTTGGTTTTGGTTTTCTCAACCAGGGATTCATCATTTTGGTGTTACTGTGGTTTTTGGTTTAAGGGCAATCCAGATTGGGTTTTCTTTATGAAATCTCTTTGTGGCTTCCATTTTCACCATCGAGAAATGGAACCAGGGAAGCATTCCTATGATTTTTTTCATGTTCACTCTATATGCATTAGGGTACTTGGAAATAGTGTGACTAGATTTAGGGCTAATGACTTCATTTGGATTATCCACTATAGTGTTTATGTTTTAAGGTTTCTTTTATAATGCAATGTGATATTAATTTTCCATCAGATTATTATGGTTTTGTTGATCTACCTCTATCTATCGTCGCAGACATGCTAATGGATAATTGAGTATCAATTTCTGAGACTTCGTCCGGCCAAAGGGCCAGGTAATAATAAGCTAGTAATTAGTATAATGGTAAGCCGTTATGATTAATTATTAGTTAAGTGGGGTGGACTGGGGATCATGGACCTTGAGTTTCAAAACAAGGCAATGATCTGCAAATGGCTTTGGAGATTCACCCAAGAACAGGACAGCTGGTGGAAGAAGTTGATTATTGAAAAATTTCATAGCGGTGGAACTCGATGGCGCAGTGGGCATATGACGGGGGCTGTAGGGTGCAGTGTTTGGAGCCAAATCTGCAAAAAGGAATCGGATTTCTGGAAGTTTGCTCAAGTTAAACTTGGCACTGGTGAAGCTACCTCCTTTTGGAGGGATATCTGGAGAGACAATCTGCCACTCGAAGAAAGGTTCCCTCGGATGGCTTCTGCTGCTGCCTCCCCTTCGGCCTCAATTAAAGATCTGCTTAGTTCCTCGGAGGAGAGCGTTTCCTGGGATATTCATTTTAACACTTCTTTTAGAGGGGGGGCTGAGAGGGAAAGGGAGAGTTTTTTTGAGTTCTTAAATTCTATAGACCCATCGTGTTTTTCTGCAGGTCAGGATTCCGTGGTTTGGCGGCCGGCGGAGAAGTTCAGCGTGCATTCCATGTACGTTGGCCTGCTTAACGAGAGATATGCACAGCCTGGTGACTTCCCGCAGCGGACAATCTGGCAAACTTGGATCCCATCCAAGGTCTGTACATTCATGTGGATTCTGCACCAACAAAAGATCCTCACTCACGATTCGCTCAAGAAGAAAGGATGGAACTTCCCTAGCATGTGCGTGATGTGCGCTGCAAATGAAGAGGACGCGAGTCATTTATTCCTTCACTGCAACTTTGCTTCTAAAGTTTGGGAAATCCTTAGGGCCTTCGTCAACGTGAATCGGACAGATGGGAATATCTCCCAGGTCATTGACAATTGGCCCCGTAGGAAGCCGATGAACTCGAAAGAGTGGTGCACTGCTGTCTTTCTTCATGCTCTGTGCTGGACTCTGTGGAAAGAAAGGAATAGAAGAACTTTCGAGGGTGTGGCCAATACGGAAGTTATCATTGCTTACAGGATTGGAGATCTGATCGCGAAGTGGCTGGCTGTTGCTGGGAAAGTTGACAAGGATGATGCTGATCTATGGCTTAGGTGTCTTAGACAAAGAACTATTGGCAGCAGAGACCATCCCCAGGCAGTTTAAGTGCTTTGTGTTTTGTTTTGTATGTTTTTTCCTCCTTTGGCATGCTGCTGTCCTCGGTCTGCTGTGCTGTCTTTTTGTAGCTCTCGGTTTTGGGTTCTGGTTTCTGTTTCTTCCCAGGCCGGGGGTCTCTGCTGCTCGGTGGGCGGTTCGTGGTTTTCTTTTCGGTCTCTCTTTTCTTTCTTTCCGTTTGTTTTGTAGGAGTTCTCTCCTTCTGTTTCTTCCAATTTAATTGATGTCAACATTATCAAAAAAAAAAAAATTATTAGCAAATAGCAAATAGCAAGTAGCAAGCTAACCTATCCTGTCGAGTGATTGAATCAATCATCTAGAAAATGAAAAAATTCAATAGCGGCATTTAATGGTGGAGATGTGATTGCAGGGGTCGGGACTCGGGATTGGGAGTGGTGGACGACTTCATTGAGGTTTGGAAGTTTGGGGATGTCATTAATCAAAGTTTGTCTTGTGGCAGAAAATTGATGGAGAAGAGAAGTGGGTAGTGCCGTGGGAAGATTATATATGTGTTTTATTCTTACTAATCTTTCTTTGTTAGTTGTGATTATTATGATGAAACTTTAAATTGTTTATCACTTTTTTTTTACAGGTGTGGTGTTTGAGTTGGTAGGCCGATGATGATGGAATATTTGATTCTAATTTTTTTTCCGCTAAATTATATTGAATATGTTAATCACATTATATGGTAAATAAGTCGAGTCAAGTCGAGTTTTATTAGTGTTTGGCTCATTAATGAGCTCACGAGTTCTACTCGAGCTGGGCAAATCAATTAGCTCGCAAGTTCTGCTCGAGCAAATGTATCATATCATTTATAAATTTTTAATTATTCATATCTTGTTATTTAATAGTAATTACTATCTCAACAATCTATGATACATAATTTATCTTTTCTTTATAAATAAGACGTTCTCAAGTTACTAAACATCATATATAGTTCAATATATAATCTAATAAACCTAGCTATGAATTAACAACAATCCAATGATAAATTATTAACTGATTTGCTCAGAAATTGCTAGTTGAAGTGGCTTGCTAACTTTTCATGAGTTGAGCTCAACAACCACCGAGTCAACCTGACTCCCGAGATTAACAAAGGGTAGCTCAAACTAACATCCCACCCCAAATGTGCTATTCAGTGTTGGTAAATTTTCCCCTCTCATTTCTCCAAAAAAAAAAAAAAAAAAAAAAACAATGCCTCTCAAAACCTTAGGTCTTACCCTGCATGCTCATCTCACTATGCTTATGCCGGAGAGCATAGTTCAACCGAACAAAAATAATATATTGTCCATTCTTTCACTATTTTGGATGGATTCGTGTCGTTTTTTTTTTTTAATCCGGATTTCATATTTTTTTCGAACTAGTTTATTATAATCTACAAAATTATATCAATTTATAATATATTTTGAGAAAAATTAGTACCACCCATTATCACCCTAGTACCACCTACAGATTATTGGGAAAAACAATTAAGAACAAATATACCACTATGGTATAGGGTGGTAAATGGTGGTGAAATGATGTTTAATATATTCCTACCATCACGTAGACAATCATTCTACAGTATTATATATTCGCACCGCCATGCTATGCTTACATATCACCATTGTATAATTTTATGTACTACCAAATAGTACCACCATGGTATAGATGAGTAATATATATATTTTTTTTTTTCCAAAATTATATCAAAGTGAATATCATTTTGATTGATAAAAAAGAAAAAAATATCATTTTGAATAGCACGATTATTTATTTTTTTTATTGAATTTTAACTTAATACAAAAGAAATATAACCCGTTAAATATAATTGGGAGAAAATTCAGGTATAATCAGCAATCAGATTAGTGACTAGATGCGCTCCCTAAAAACACCACAAATATTAAACACTGTTGAAGGATTTTTCAACAAAATGCACAGTACATTTATATAATTGATCCAAACATCTTGGATAAATGCTGGATACCAACTTGTGGCTATAAATTTCCCCTTCGAAATCCACTATCTACTTCCCTCCTCAGTCCTCACATCCATTCATATTTTTGCTATCCTTTCTCTAATCTTTTGCTTTCCCTAATCCATCCATTACGTTTGGATCCATAATCAAAACACTAATCTCCTCCTAATCCAGCTGCTAAACACTTAGCCTACATGGAGCTTCTTCTTCAACTCCCAGCTACCATTGATCCCTCCTCCTGCTACACAGCCGTCCTCATCGTCCTCACATCCTTGCTCGCCCTCTTCATCTTCTCCAGATCATCTTCAACCAGCAACAAGCTCCGCCGGAAAAGTAGACTCGTCCTCCCTCCGTCGCCGCCGGTGAAGCTGCCCCTGATCGGCCACATGCACCACCTCGCCAGCAACCCCTTGCCACACCGCGCCCTCAGGGACCTGGCCCAGCAACACGGGCCCGCGATCATGCACCTCCAGCTGGGCCAGGTCCAGACCATCGTCGTCTCCTCGGCCCAAATCGCGGAGGCCATCCTGAAGACGCATGACGTCAACTTCGCCCAGCGGCCTCCCGTGCATTCGGCCGACATCCTCGCCTACGGCAGCACCGACATCGTTTTCGCGCCATACGGCGACTATTGGCGCCAGCTGCGCAGGTAGGGAGGTGCCAATTCGTCCGTCTAATTCATCTGCTAAAATATCCAAATCATTTAATTCAAATCCAATGGATGAGTGGAGTGATTTATCAATATTTGTAATTTAGTATTTTATATATTTGTATTTTACATTTGGTACACAATTTTTTATATTTTTTTAACATAGAATATTGTTACGAAATTATCTTTTTCACACCTAATTTTTTTAGTATGACAATTTAATACCTAACATTTTTAAAATCTACATATTGATACATTGTTTTAACATCACTTGGATCCATGAATCCAACTCGATAGTCCATTTGATTCATATCCATGAATCTACCAATCCGTGATTCCAAACTCATTTGCTACCTCTATTCGCGGGACATGTACCGTTTTACATACTCGTATAATTATTTAGATGTCACTTGTCGGAATCTACCAATTTATTCGATCCATATCCATAAATTCACCAACCCCAACATCTACAAATTTGTTAATCTAATCGCGATCCATTTGTCACCTATTCGCAGGATATGCACCATCGAGCTCTTCAGCGCGAAGATGATCAAGTCGTTCAGTTCCATCCGGGAGGACGAGGTTTCGAAGCTGGTCGCCGCCGTATCGACCTCCTCGGCGGCGGCGGGAATTGACTTGACCGCCATGTTTTCTAAGTTGACTTACAGCGTCCTGTCGAGGGCCGCGTTTGGGGAGGTGCGAGAAGGCAGTGAGGCTTTCTTGCCGTTGATCGATGAGATTATTAGGGTGGCGTCGGGGTTCAACATAGCGGATTTCTATCCTTCGTTTAAGTTCCTTCAGGTTCTCACTGGTGTGGAGTCGAAGTTGAACGTGCTCCATGAGAAGGCGGATAAGGTGCTCGAATCCATAATAGCTGATCACCGAGTGAAGAAGGGTGGTAAGAGGTCGGGAGAAGAAGAGGAGAGTGGGGATCTTTTGGATGTGCTTCTGAGGCATCATGAGGGTGAAAACAATTTGGGATTCTCTTTGACAACCGACAATATCAAGGCCGTCCTCGTGGTAATTATTATTCACTGGCTATTATCTTTTTGGTTGACCTTCACTTATTACTTGAGCAGATTTGCACCAACATGTCAAGAAAAAAATAGATTTGAAGTTTGAACCAAGTAATGGGTCATTTGGGAAATGTCGGACATGATAGGAAGATATATGGGGTTAAACCTTTCACATTAATGAGGCTCTTGGGAAATGTGGGACATGATTGGTTTGGACATTGAAAATGGAAAAAATATAACATTTAGGTTCAATTTCTTACATATGAGGACTTTGAGCACAAACTATTGAAATTGAAAAGGACTGAGATGGTGTGAGTTTGTCAAATTCTAAACAATATGGAAATCTGAACTATTCTACAAGTCAATTCACAAATTATTTTTGGGCAGGTCAATATAGATTTTTTTAGCTAAACGATGCACATATAAGATTTAAACTATCGTCTATTTTGATGAGCAAATTGAAAAATGCGAAATTTATAAATTTAAATTCCCATATCTGCGGGAATTGGTTACAAAATATGGAGATTGTAAAAGACAGGGGAATAATACAAAATTTAGGAATTTGTACCCTAATTCCATTTTTTCCTTTGATGAAAAATTACATTTTTTTCACATGCTAATTCCTACATAATTTTTAGGAAAACCAAAGATGAATTTTAATATAAATGATGGATATGTGGAATTTGGTCCCAAATTCTATCATCTCCAAACGAGTCCATCTAAATTTTTCATCCGGGCCCAATAATGTTGTTACCACACTTACCATGCTAACACTAACAGGAAAAGAAAAATTAATGAAGAAAACTGGCCTTAAAAATTATTAGTTTATCATCTTCATCTCATGCTTTCTATTGATATAAGCATAATTTGAAAATGATATTATATTAATCTAATATTATCCCTTAGGACCTATTCGTTGCCGGCACCGAAACAACGGCTACAAGTCTAGACTGGATCATGTCGGAGCTAATGAGAAACCCACGAGTGATGCAAAAGGCACAAGCCGAAGCAAGGCGGGTGTTCGAACCCCAAGGCAAGGTGGACGAATCAAGGCTTGAAGAACTCACGTACCTAAAAATGGTCATCCGAGAAAACATGAGACTCCACCCTCCGGTCGCCGTGCTGCTTCCGAGGACGGGCGCCCAAGACTGCGAGATCGGCGGCTACCACGTACCGGCCGGTGCCAGCATCATGGTGAATGCATGGGCGATCGGAAGGAACCCCGAGTACTGGACGGACCCCGAGACGTTCTGGCCGGAGAGGTTCCTCGAGAGCTCGGTCGATTACAAGGGGGCTCATTTTCAGTTGCTTCCGTTTGGTGCTGGAAGGAGGATCTGTCCTGGAATGTCGTTCGCTTCGGCTAATCTTGAGCTGCCGCTGGCACGATTGCTTTATGATTTCGACTGGAAGCTTCCGAACGGACAGGAACCTGAGTGCATCGACATGACCGAAATGTTTGGCGCGACGGTCAGGAGGAAAAACAGTCTTTTCTTGGTTCCTGTCGTTGCCTCGTCACTCAATGGAAAGTGATGGATTGCTATCTTCTCTGAAAATACATATCAGTATAAGCAATGTGTAGTATGTTATTCGGTTGTTTCTGTGTAGCATATTTTGTACCAGATAATTTCACTCATTTTGTTGTCCCTTTCTTTGAAAATAAAGTTGATGTATGGATAGTAGGCAATTTGGGTATTTTTGATGCATGTATGAAAGTACTATTATGTTAATTTTTTTATTATGTCTTATAAATAAGAGCTGGAAAACAAAACAAATACAAAAGTAGAGAGAAACACAAGAGAAAAGGAGAGAAATGTTCTTCTTCTTATTCATATGTCTTAGTACATTTGTGGCAGAAAAGTGACATTCATATAGATGCCGCGTCATTGAAATATTATTATTTAATTTAAAAATTCAATTATACTAATTATAATAAGAAAAATACAAAATTCTTAGAAAATTAAAATAAGTAAAATAAATTATTGGTTCAGCCCTCCCCATTCTCCGGTCATGGAAGAATCCACCGACTTCTCTGCTTCTTCCTCTTCCCTTTCGGTATCATGCTAAAACGAAAAGTTATCCGATATTGTAAACTTCTAGTTTATATATTCATATGCAAAGCAGTTAAAATTGGGATTTTACCTAAAATCGAAAACTGGGGTAAAATCGGAATCGTAAAAACGAAACGTAGAATCGTAGAATTTTAAGTACCATATAGAAACTAACATATAATAATATTAATAAGGTAAATATTAACATAAAGATACATAACATTTCAAATGATAATTCTCAAGATTAATGTTTCAAAATCATCATTTTAATTGTTATGTAATCCGTAACTCGAAATAATTCATGAGGAAGGGATGGAGCTCAATAGGTTTGGTTTTTTTTCCCATATTATGTCTAGGTAGTTTAACTTTAAGTAGTATTCCTTCATCGTCTACTAAGCATGATTTAAAAACTAAGAATAAGTGAACTCGAATAAAATAATTAATTTAATTGGTTTGGTACAAATATATTCATTAATCAATTAATTTGTTAATAATAATATTAATTCTTACATACTTACAATATTATGATAACTATTATGATAACTGTTTTACCGATGAGTTAAACAAGGGAAGAAAAAGGGATTGATCGATCCCTAATTTCGTTATTTATTTTTTTTTCAATTTTATTTTAATAGAAAAAATATATGAGAAGATCCCCGTCATTGCCCTTTCCGCCGAAACAGTTATACTTCTTTTAAATTGGCTCAAACCACCTATTTTGTTCACATAGGATCAAAATCTCGATTTTGGTACGATGTTACGATTTTAATCCCGATTTGAACGATTTTATGGTCCACCGATTTTATAGTAAAATAAGGATCGGAATCTCTAAGTAAAATCCTAAAATCCTACGATTTTATGATCAAAATCCCGATTTTGACTGTATTGTTCATATGTACTAATATACATGTAGTACCAATTTCTCCAATTAAGTATATGTTCTCTTAGAACACATTTCTGATGTAATATCAATTATAATATTTGTTTCTGCGAATATCTTCATAATTCGGTAATGCATGTTCAACTGACAGTTTAGTTCCTTCATTTCTAAAAATAGCTCTTCTGGAGCTTTCACATACCCTTGTACTACATTTTGGCCATTAGGCACCTTCTGATTCACTGAACTATTGTGAGCACATATCTATAGTGATAAGAATATTGTCACACTATTTTATCTCTAATATATTGGCTAGTTACTCCAAGTAACAAAACACAAACTCTTCCAGAGCTTTTTCTTACTTTCGTACTATATAATAATATGATGGTTCTATCGTACACCAGGCAAAACTTGGTGTATGTCGTACATTAAACAATCGTCATCGTTAGTGTCCATCTCAACGGCCAACATAAATGAGGTAATTTATTTTTTAATAACACAAAAAAAGAACCGCATTAATCCTAACTGTTGAGATGGACGTGGACGGTGGAGATTGCTGGTGTACGACATACCCCAACATATGTTTGGTGTACGATCGAAGTTAACTATGATATAATAGTAGTATTGACTTTTCCGAATATTTATTCTACACAAAAGCATACAAAATAATAATTATTATAATAATAATAACATATATGTGTTTTTGATGACTACATATTTACACATGTTTTACCCCTCATTTCTTGATTGTTTAGCTGAGTGTTTATCATATTTTGGTCTATTTTACTCTAGTTTGTGTTCCTTTGTCACATTTCAGGTCCTAGCACGTAAAGTGAAGCATAGGAGCAAGTTTCAAGTCAATCTGAGATCAATTGACCACTCGGGCATGACCTGAGGAAGAATGGATTTCTTTCTCATTTTATGGTCAATGAATCATTTAGGCTTGTCATGATGAGAAAGAGGACTAGACTACAAGCGTCTGGGATCTAACGGCGACTAATTCGGAGTCCGGACGAGGGAGAAACAAGACATTCAAGAGAGGGAAACATGAGTAATGATTTCCACGGGTTGGAAGCCAATTCCAAGGTCGTGGATTAGAGGTTTAGACCGTGGATGTCGAGCAGAAGAGATCCACAGGTTGGAGATCAATTTCCACGATCGTGAAATATAAGGGGTGACCGTTAGGGCTGGGAGTTTGGTACCGGTATTTGGGATATACCGAATACCGTACTGAATTTGTCTATATTTGGTATTACCGAATACACGTATTATTTTTTGGGATTGGGATTGAATTTCAATTGTTATTCAGTATTAGGGATTACGGGATTGGGATCAGTATATGCCGAAATACCGATCAATACCGAAATATAAGCTAGTGTGTATTTTATCCTCTCAACTAGACTCTCTCATTCCCTACTACACGACCCTAACCACCAAGAGTGTCATTTAATTATACATAGATCATTCCATCACTAGTAATAGTCTTCTCTTAACCTCCAATTCGTCAAATTAAAGATCGCCAATGACAAGAACTTAAGATGTCTCCTCTCCTCCATTCTCCTTAATAATATCCTAATTAAAGACTCTTTGCTTAGTCGTTTTCCTCTAAATTAAACAATAAAATCTAATTTATATATTTAATTATTAATTGCAAAGGTAATTGATTTCGTATTCGATAATATCGATTGGGATACCGAAGTACCGATTGGGATACCGAAATATTTAGGGAGTGGGATTGGGATACCAAAATTATTTAGGGATTGGGATTGGGATTGACTTTAGGGTATAATTCGGTATTCGGGATTTTGGTATTTGGTATTGGGATACCGATACCGTACCGATTTCCACCCCTAGTGACCGTGGAACATACCAACGACGAGTATAAACACCTGTTTTGTGTGTTTTTTTAAGGAAAGAGCTGGACTTTGGATCCCAAACACCCAAGGGGCGAACTCTAGAGAGAGAGAGAGAGAGAGAGAGAGAGAGAGCACATTGGGATCATTCTTGGAGCTATTTTGGAGGATTTCTCACCATTGGAGCTCGCGAATCAAGCTTGGAGATGGAGATTGAAGATCTAGATCAGATTTCTTCATTCTCTCTCTTCTCTATGGAGTAACTTCCCTTCACTTTGGTTTTGAGGAACCCTAGTTTGTTTGCTAGGAAGAGTTGTATGAACTCCATTATTGTTTGACATTTATATTCAGTTGAGGCAATGATTTAGAATTACTTGAGTCCTGATCAAACTTTTGTGATTCCTGCTTCAACCTAGAACGATAGTCTCTGCATAGGTTAATAGAGCTACCTTAAATTGGAAGTGGTGAATCGACTGCTTTAGTCGAGAAGTCAATCCACTGCTCCATACTAGAATTAAAGTCAATAGAGGAAGTTTGGTGCGTTATTGCATTGGTTAGTTTATGTCAGTGGAGGTTAGTTGCCCGCTGGGTATTCGAACTAAGAGGGTTTGGTCTTCTTTAGTCGAGATTCCACACTTGGCAAGAACTTTTCACAGTGTATCTTTCAATCTGAACAAATTGGGAACATATAATCTGAACTAGCTGCATATTAGGGGGAACCATACCTGGATGACCTTTAACATACTTGGAAAACCGGAGCATTACTTGCGTTTTGTTTATTTTCATGTGAACATCTCACTACACTTAGTTTGCTAGTAGGCAGTAGATCTAGACCCGGGTTGAAAAATTAAACTTCACCACTACTCTGCATTTTCATCTTACGATTGCACTTGGTCGTGGTTTGGTATTGTGTTTAGCATGTCAAGTTTTTGGTGTCGTTGACGGTGAATTTCTAGATTATTAGGAAAGGTAAAAGTTTGTTAATTTAGCTTTTCTTTCTTTTGTTTTTCTTTTCCACCCTTGCTTTTCACTTGGGTGTTTTTGTTTTTGTTGGTGCAGATCTATATCATGGATCATCATGGCTTCTCTAACCACTGGGGTTATCGACCACCACCCGAGTGGTATTACCCCGAGACTTCCTAGAGCAATCAAGGAGGAGAAGACTATTGATTCGGGTTCCATTACCAACCCCCCTACTACGGAGAACAACTGGACCCTTGGGAACCTCAAGAACAATCCCCTTACCAAGAATAGTTTCTCCCACAACCACAAGGGCCATCGGAGCTGGAGTTAGCCATGGCGGCCTTCACGGGCCATTCTGCTGAGCCTTGCTACACTCCACTAGAAGATTTGTATAAATAATTAAGGCCTCTTGTGGAGTAGTTTGGTTGAAAAATGGAGAGATCATACTCCAAGATGGATCTTCATAACCAGGCCATCGAACGAACTCAGTTCACCTACCGTGAAATAGAGGAGACCCTCCTAAGCGTAAAGAATCAGATAGAGGTCATTGAGAAAGATTATGCACAGTTCGATCAAGATAACCTTCATAACCTTTATGCACGTGCCATTTTCGTCACTTGCTATGCCACTTGCTCGTGACTTGAGACTCCACCTCATCGACGAGAACCTCAAATTCAAAGAGGTTTTGGGGTGGACCGAAACTAGGGCTGGTATTCGGTAAACCGGTATTCGGTATACCGGTATTCGGTATACCGGGTATCGAACCGGTTATAATCGGTATTCGGTATACCGAATACCGCCGGTATCGGTATTCGGCTGCACTTCTTGGCCAAACGGTATACCGAATACCAACGGTAAATCGGTATACCGAATACCAAATAAAAAGGTTTACCGAAGACCCTGTAGTTTATTCCCCACAAGAAATGAAGAGCTTGCTTCAGCGGATTGCTGAAGGAAATCGCTC